TTTACTAATATTTTGGCATTGTCATATTGACTTATACTAAGATTTAAAGAGGTTAAAGAAATGTTTTTACTTAAAGCTTCTGCTATCACTTTTATTCCTTTAGATCCAATATTATTACTTCCAATATTCAGAAAAAGTAAGTTAGTATTTCTGTAAAGAGCCTCTATTATCGCTTTTATTCCCTCAAAACCAAGATTATTATTATAAAGATTCAAGGTGGTCAGAGAAATATTTCTGCAAAGAGCATCTGCTATTGCTTCCCCTTCTTTAGTGCCAAGTTTATTACCAGCAAGATTTAAAGTAGTTAATGTGTTATTTTTATAAAGTGCCTCTGCAAGTGCTTTTACACCTTCAAAGGTAAATCGATTATATCTAAAGATTATAGTAGTTAGGGTGATATTCTTGTAGAGAACTTCTGCAAATGCTTTTATCCCTTCATCACCAAGTTCATTACGGGAAAGATCTAGAAAAAATAGTGTTGTATTTTCATTAAAAGCCTCTGATAATATCTTTGCTCCCTTAGAGCCAAGTCCACAATGATATAGTATTAATGAACTTAAGCTGATATTTTTACCAAGAGCATCTGCTAGCGTCCTTACTTCTTCAAAGCTAAACCAAATTTTAGAAAGACTTAATGAGGTAATAGTTGTGTTTTTATAAGGAATTTCTGATAGTCTTTTAACTACTTGTTTATTGCTGGACTTATATATATACATATACTTGATTTTCTCACTTGTACGTAATAACATTGTTATTAAAGAATTTTTAACTTTTTGAACCACATTCACAGATTCAAAATCGTTACAGGGTTTAATTTCTTCATGGCCAAGCCATTTTTTGATTCCTCTTTCTAAATCAAAGCTGTCAATCGATGTTGTATAAGATGCATATTCAAATAATAGCTTTTGTTCGTTTGAAAGTGATATATTTAATGGGATCAATGATTCTTTTTCTTCAGCGTTTAATGATAAAAGGTATATTCTCATAAGTTTCCAATTTTCACAATATGATAATGGATCACTCCATAATAGTGGGACTACAATTCTACACCATTGGCGGTTTACAAGAAGGCACGAAAATAAATCTCCATAATGGTATTCAAGATTATTAAATATTTCTAAAAAACATTCATTTGGTAATGCTAGCATTTTCGAAATTATGAATATATTAAATTTACTAAGGCTAGAGTTTTCATACTATGTATGCGGAGTAAGCGGAAGAAATACCTATTTAAAATTTGTATATGTATGTTTTTAGTATTTGTGTAGCAAATTAAAATTTGTATACGTATGCTTTTAGTATTTGTGTAGCAAATTCAGCGTAGCCACAAATCGAGGGCACAGTCACATGATAATCGATCTTACTGTATACAACAGCATTGTTCACTGGAATGTTCCAGTGAAGATCATTGGACTTAACTGGAGGCATAATAGCTTCTAAATGATCGAATATCACTGTACTGTTTCAATGATTTTTATCACTCGTATGGAAATTTCAGAAATGTCAATGACTTCCAGTAACCTCTAATTTGCCGATTTGAATCAATTACTTGCAGCAGTGACTTGACCAGAGTGGGTAGAGTATTAAACCCGGTATAAAATTCAAGTTTTGAACCAATCCGCTTGCTTTTATTACATTGCCAGGTCATAAACAGGATCATTTCTAATTTCCAGCATATAGATTATATTGATTAGTAAATGAATATGACAATTATTTGGCATTTGAAGTATTAAGAATAGGCATAGATCAATTTACTAATCTTGCAAAAAAATGTTAATTTTACAATCTCACGTAAATGTCAGTGAAATGATTTCATTTTATTGATGAAATAGTGTTGAATTGGTGGAACTGGTGAAATTAATTTCGCTAGCATCTCTAGGTTTTACGATAGTTTATTGTCCGGAGCGTAGCGACGGACCCTTAGTTTCTACGCATTGTGGTACAAAAGTTACGTTTTAGATGTATTTGGTCCCAAAATAGTTATCTTTTTGATGCAGCCACATAAATATTATGAAGATCGCATCAGAAATGTAATTTGGAAATTTTTCGTCCGTCCGCACGCGTGTTCAAATTTGTAATTTAGTACAACAAAAATTATGCATGCTTACGCGTTTGTGTCAAAATTGATAGGTCTGCGGTTGCATTTTTGATAGATCTACAATGCATCTAAATCTGAGCCACATTTTTTATCATGCACCCTATAGAATTTAAGTTTTTTTTAAACTTTGGGTAAAGATATTTTAGTAACGACCCAACCAAATTCAATAAACTTTTTTATTTTGATTCTACAAACCTGTAGAATTCAAATAAAAAAAAATTTCAGAGAATTTGGTCAGGTAGTTGTTTAGATATCCTCATTCAAAGATTTATAAAAATTTTGCCACAGTTATTATTTTGATAGGCGTTTTGAATGCTTCCAAAACTTTGAACGAAGTTACCCTGACAACCACCCAACCAAATTCGATAAAATTTTTTATTACATTCTACAGACCTATAGAATAAAAATAAAAAAATTTCATCAAATTTGGTTGACTAGTTGTCAAGCTATCTTCATTCAAAGTTTTATAAAAATTTTGCCGCAGTTGTTATTTTGATATGCGTTTTGAATGCTTCCAAAACTTTGAATGAAGTTATCCTGACAACCACCCAACGAAATTCGATAAAAAATTCGTTCAAAGTTTTATAAAAATTTTGCTGCAGTTATTATTTTTATAAGCGGTTTGTATGCTTCCAAAACCTTGAGCGAAGATACCTTGACAGCCATCCAACAAATTCGATGTTTTTTTTATTTGAATTCTACAGATCTGTAAAATTTAAATAAAAAAATTAATCGAATTTGGTTGGGTGGCCATCAAGATATCTTCATTCAAAGTTTTATAAAAATTTTGCCGTAGTTATTATTTTGGTAATCGTTTTGTATGCTTCCAAAACTTTGAAACAAATTCGATGAAATTTTTTTTATTTGAATTCTACAGGTTTGTAAAATCAAAATAACAAAATTTATTGAATTGGTTGGGACATTGCCAAAATATCTTTACCCAAAGTTTAAAAAAAAACCTAAATTCTATAGGGTGCATGATAAAAAATGTGGCTCAGATTTAGATGCACTGTAGATCTATCAAAAATGCAACCGCAGACCTATCAATTTTGAAACTTTTGCCACAATGCTACGCATTAGCCTAGTTTTATGATATTGATATGAATGAAAAATATAAAATTGGTATACATATATATAAGATGATATATATCATGGTATATATATATATATATATATACTGTATATATATATAGGATTTGTCAAAATCCTAAACTAGTTTTCGGTAGTTTGGGATTACGTCACTTATCAAATTATATGGAAACTTAGTATTAACGTTAAGTATACAATATAGAGTAGACGATGAAAAATAACAGGAAATTTTTTAATGTCACCCTATGTGCTGCTACGCAGCATTCCTATTATTTGTCGTATGCTCAATACGTATTGATGTTAAATGATTACGTAACCTCATGCAAAAAAATAATTCACATAATCATATAGACACAGTTCATACAAAGTTACACAATGATAATTAATACCGCGTTATCTGTTTTAGGGTTTAGAATTTGATGTAACTCAGAAGAAACTTAATTCGAATGTGCATCTTTATTTAGAAATTATTTGAAAAAAGTTTTTCCGAGAGTTAACATATACCGTAAACTTATCTAAAATCTAAAATTTAATCTTTACAGCTTTCTGTAAAGACGTTCGTTTCGCCAATTGATTTACATATGCACACATATATTCGTCGGTTCACTCTAGAATTATATCAATTTACAGTCAAATTTGCTTGCAAATTGTCATTGATCTATGATCGAGCTATCAAACTTAGTGATGTACGTACGTACGCATGTACGTACAGTACCTGGTACGATAGCACAACCCTTTTTTGGTGCCAATTGACGATTACTGGATTTGGTTTTCGTTAGAGACTTGTTACGGCAAATCTAACCTAAATTTCAGCAGTTGAGGTTCGGCACATGACGAAGCTATCTGGTTTTGGTAACAATATTTTAAGCTATTAGTTTATTCAAAGCTACACAACAATTATAAATAATGCGTATACTGTATATATATATAGTATATTTTTAATAGATATTATATGTAACATTTCCTATGAATTTAAAAAAACGAGCATTTACCACTACTAATTACCAAATTTACTTCCAATTTCAATCGCAAATACACTAATCAGGGAGATATAATGTAACTGCGACCGATAGGAACTTGAAACAGTTAATCTTTTATGGTTCAGTTCTAAAGTAATGATCAATACGTGTATCTCTGTTTTCATTATTGTTTTCTTTATTTACTTCCAGTCGCACGATATTTCAAATACACAGTTAATTTTAACTATTACAGTATTAAAAATCTTTACATATTACGGGATTCGGGAAAGAATTCAGTATAAATATTTGCGATATAATATAAAAAGGTAGAGTGTTCCGCTCAAAATTTACAACAGTTCTTTGAATACTTGAATATATTGTTCATTTCTATCAATAAAAATGCGATTCTCTTTTGACAAAATCCCCGACCTTTCTGGAAAGGTAATTTTTTAATTACCCTTTTTTTATTAAAAGCCAATATGAATTTACATGTTTAATTTCTCGTAATTCAGGTTGCGATAGTGACAGGTGGAAATACTGGTATAGGAATCATAACAGCAAGAGAATTAGCTCGTAAAAATGCTCACGTATTCGTTGCAAGTCGTAGTAAAGATAGAGGTGAATCAGCTGTAGAACTAATAAAAAAAGAAACAAAAAAAGATGCAGTTGAATTTTTACAATTGGATCTACAAAGTTTAAATTCTGTCAAACATGCTGCTGAAGCATTTTTGGCTAGAAAATTACCATTGCATATTCTGTGAGTGTTTATCATAAAAAATATATATTGCGTTAGAATCAGAATTTTTTATGTATATTGATATATACTTTATTTCAGAGTTAATAATGCCGGTATTATGGCAACGTAAGTTATTTTTTTCATATTAGATATGTAGTCAGTTCATATATAAATAAATTATCAATCTAATTTTTATATTCATATAAAAAAGTCCATTTGCGATAACTGTAGATGGTATTCAAGATCAGTTTGGCACTAATCATATTGGCCATTTTGTAAGTATGAGAATATTTTAATTGAAGGTTTTCTTAAAAAAGTATTATTATAACATGATTTTTAAACTACGAAATAGGTCCTCACACTCTTGCTGTTGCCAACCATCAAAGCTTCGGCTCCATCACGTATTGTAAATGTTAGCAGGTTAGTTTAATTTCTTTTCCATTAAGAAACTTAATTTTATGTTATTGATCGTTGTCGTCTCGGTATGATTTTAGTGAGGGTCATAAACTTGCATCTTCACGAGCAGGGATAGAATTTGAAAAGTTGAATGATCCAAAGGCTCTTACCTCTTTTCAAAGATATGGTCAATCAAAACTCGCAAATATTTTATTTACTCTTGAACTTAATAAAAGACTTTCAGGAACAAATGTTTATTGTAATTGTCTCCATCCAGGTAAAAAATAGTTTAAATTAGTATTTTACAATATAATACGTGTATAATAAATTATTCTAAATGATATGCTATTTAATATCAATAACTGCATACGTATAATTAAGGTGTTATAAGGACTGAGTTATTGCGTGGAATTGAAGCTGACTGGGGATCTTGGATAAAGCCAATTACTTATCTATTTTCATTATTCCTGTTATCACCTGATGATGGTGCTTTAACTCAACTTTATTGCGCTACAAGTCCTGAAATTAAAGAAAAAAATCTCCGTGGATTATATTTTGTACCATTTGGTGAAGTAGGTGAACCTACTACTCAAGGTAAAGACGAAGAATTGGCAAGAAAGTTATGGGATTTTTCTGAAAATTTTGTTAAAGAAAAATTGGGTGCTAACATTTTTAATAAGAGTTATACGTGATGTTGGTATCGTTATGTTAAGTCATGGGCTCATATTTATATATATTAAAATATATATAATTTAGTCAAATAAAACTTTAAGAGCAACTTCACATGTAAAATCTAATTTTCATATAGTTACAAATTCAATATTAATTACTGTTATAAATTTACCAATCTATTTTGCTATAATTTTTATCGTTATATAAATATATTTGCATTATGGTTATTATTACAATTTTTTATTAACTATATACATATAACTATCTTTGTATAATTTTATTATTATAAAAAAACTTTTCTTGATTTTCACTCATATACAAAAAAATTACAATTTAATTATTTCTAAAAAACTTTTTTGCTCCCATTTCTACTATACAAATTACAGTATCTGCTATAATTATCTGACACTAGGTAACTTTTTATAGAGGATTTGAAGTGATTTAAAATTTTTCTAACAAAAGAATATTATAAAAGCTAATTATTCATATTTTCTGTAAATAATAAAACATCTGTGTTGGACATCTATAATAAAAATTGCTATATATATCATGAATATACATCATATCCCACTTTTTTTTTTATTAATATAAATTTTTAGACAATAGCACAGTTAATATTTAAGGGCTCTTTGACTTTTACAGTCTTGCAAAATTCAAAAAAGACCTCAAACATTAATATTATAATCTCAAAATATTGTGGCTAAAAATTTAAGAAAAAATTTAATAATTATTTATTCTAACAAAATTCAAACAAAAATATTTTGACAATAGTATGATCAAGTTTAATGTTTAAAAACTTTTTTGAATTCTATATATATGTAGAATTCAAAAAAGCATTTAAATATTAAAATTGACTATGTTGTTATCAAAATATATGTATTTAAGTTTTTTAAAAAATTTTATTTTGTAGAAGTGATATTTGATGGTAAGTAAACTTTATAAAAAAGTATATAAAATAATGAAATATCTGGAGCAAGTAATTGGTTAGGATTATTAGCTTTGTATTGCCATATTGTCTAAATAAATTTTTTACAACCAATTCTTGAAATTGATACCTGTTGAAATTTAATACTAGCAATGTTTGAAAAATATATTTTTTTGTATTTAGCAATTAGTAAAATATATTTAAAAGAGTCATCAATACCTTCTTGTTTAGAAAAAAAAAAGAATTAATAGAGCTTAATCAGTTTGTCAACTTCTTAAACTATTTGAAGCTACTATATTAGTTCTCTTAAAAGACAAATTAAATTCAATATTTGATGCTCTAATAGTAATAATAGAAATTTTACAATATATTCATAAGGTTAGATATAATAATAATAATACAATATAGTCAATAATAAAAAAAATTGATAAGTATTGAAGCAAAATAATTAATCATGTTATAATTATATATATAAAATACAAGTTTAAACATTTGAAGGTGATATTGATTAAAGTTAGTAAATATAGTGAATTAGCTGCAGAATAATTTGTTGATAATATTTGACAAATAATAATTCAATATAGTGCAAAATATACAAATACCAATATACAATTATTCTTTGTTGAAGTTGTTAGAATTAATTATAACAATTTTTTTATCTAGTTTATTTTCTAAAAGACAGAAACTAAAAAGACCTTTTTATAATATTAATAAAGTTAGTTATAAATTAATAATATATAAAAGAAAACTACTTAAAAAAATTAAAAGCAATAAAAATAATAAACTTTTCTATTGAAAAACATTATCAAAAAAATTTCTAATTCTTGATAATATAACATGTGATTATCTCAGCCTTTAGCCTTCAAGTATTGCTAGTAAAAAGGTATTTTTAAAAGCAGGCTTTACAATTACCCATAATAGAGCAAATCTTGATAAAAAAAACTATTTCTTTTACAATTCTTATATATTTATAGCTTCAAAAAAGCCAAAATAAACTTGGTCTTCTTTATGCTCTTTCAAGAACCAAATAATTACTGCTATATAAATAGAGATTTTGTAAATCTTAGAAATTTATAATACTTTGCTTAATGCTAAATTCAAATTAAAAAATATGAAAAAAAATTTTTTAATACTTTGCTTAATATAAAATTCAAATTGAAAAATATAAAAAGAAATTTCTTTTTTACATAATTCATATGCAATAAATAATCATATTGTTATATAAGAAATAATACTATATTAATAGCATATTCTTTGTATTATGTCTGCGCTAATTTTTTTTGTACCCCAAAAATTTTAAGGGTATTGACTGACTAGTTGGGGTTAGATGATTATTTGCTGATATTATTATGTAATAAAATTGTATTATATAAATTTTTCCATTATTAGTGTTTTAAATTTGTAGTTGTAAACCAACAATAAAATAAAAAATATATGTTCATAAAAATAAGATAAGCAAATCAACCCTTAACTTCTAAAAACCCGTTCGAACATGTCACCAACTTGTATTATCCAATTTTGTTCACGGTAATTTGACTTTTGATTTTCAGATCAATTATATAATCGAATAGATCGACAACCTTAAACTTGCCAATTAATTCTCTTTGGTGCCATAATAGAGAAAGCACTCCTAATTTAAATAATATATTACATGTCAATCTTAATATCAATATAATTTTTATTATTGTATAGCACAACTTATATAATTACTCCTTAAGTTTAAATGTATGTAATTAAAATAAATCACAGGTGATAGTAATTGCTTGAGTTATCTTAATAACAGCTTTATATAATTAATTAATAGAGAGCGAAACATAGTTTCCTAGTCATATTATTTGAATAATAAACTCAATTCATTTGATTTATTACTATCTTATTGATTTATATTCTTGGAGTTTTTTAATACTTAACTTGCTATGAATTTATATCTTATTATGTCATCTTGTAAAGCATCAATATAAATATGCTTTTAGAAAATTTCACACTATCGCTATATACATCTTAATTACCGGTACATATCTGTTTATTTAAAATAGCAAATGATAAAATTAAACATGATACAATGAAACTTCACGATTATCCTAGAAAACCTGAAATCGAATACAAAGATCCTTCTACTGGCACTTATCATTATACTATTATCTCTGAAGGATACTATCTGTCACCACCTGTTCTTGTCAGGACTCAAAGAAAAAAAAATAGTAGTTATAGAATTCCTGATAATTACAAAGTTGTAGTTAGTTGGGTGAAAAAAAGTAAAACACAAAACATTACATGCACTATTAATTATATACATCAATGTATTGATGATAAATACAATTAAAACCTTGTTTTAAAATCAAATATAATAATGGTCATCAAACAATCAAGTCTTGGCGAAGTGCAACTTATGCGGCAAATTTATTTGTACAGGTAAAGTTTTTCAAAAAAATTTTTTAATATTTAAATCAATACTAAAAAAACACTCTTTATAAAAAAGATGTATAATCCTAATATAAAATTAACACTATCTGGAATTATAGTATTTGGGCTGCAGCTTAAATGTATAGAACAAGCTAGAGATTCTCATCATCGATCTAATACTCTTCAGCCCCTTGAAACTCTTAGTAATTCTGCAAAAAGATCTCAAATCAAACAAATTGGTGAAAAAGTGCGTGATTATATTAATCATGAAACAACACATTTATATCATAAGGACAAACTACAAATAAAATCACTTGTTTTGTCAGTTGATGATCAAAATTGGATAGTTAATTATTCAAAAGATATGATATTTGAAAAAATCAAAAGCCAAGCATGTGTTTGTGTAATAGATAGTAATTATATTTCACGAGAAGCTTTTCGATCAATGGCAAAAATTTATCTAGAATTAGATTATGAATATATAATTAGTAATGAAAAGCTTAATCTTGACAAAATAATGCAAGATATTATACCTCTTTATATTATGGATATTAATATAAATAGTTCAACAATATTTGCAACAAATAATAAAGAAATTCATATTAATAATGAAAAAATAATTTATGGTGTAACTGAATCAGTTAGAAAGGCTAGTTATAGAAGTATAAAAGATATTTTGAAGTATATAATTCCATTTTATATTGAAGAAAATATATTAGATCCTAGTAATTCTCTAATTATGCTACGAATATCAGGTGATAGTTGGAATGTAGAATGCTATATAAAGTATGTAATGATTACATGTTTTATTCTTAATGATATTAGTAATCTTCAGATACCTGAACGACATTATACTATAGTTTTATATCCCAGCATTAAAGATTATCAAATTTTACAAAATGTTTTAATGCTATTAATTCATGATCTACAGGATATTTTTTAAAATTGTTGATGAATTTGGCAATAGATGGAATATTCAACTTTATTTCTCATCAGATTGGAAATTTCTTGCTTTATGTTTGGGACTAAATACTGCCAATGCAATATATTTCTGTCCTTATTGCAAATGTACTAAAAAAGAAATTGGATTATATAACAAGCATTAGGATAAAAAAATATGGAAATGCTTATTAATAGTCGTAGCACTTGTCCTGGACATATTCGAAAGCCATTATTTTTTATGATAGCTTTGGAAAACTGGATTCCAGATGAACTTCATATATTACTTAGAATTACAGATCGTTTATGGAGTTTGGTAATAGCTGAAATTGATCTTAATAACAATCAGATTAGAAATATTATATGTGAAGAGATGAAATGAATTGGTATTAGTTTTTATTTCTGGCAAGAACATAATTCACGTATATGGAATTTTCCATCAATAACAGGTGATAAAAAGCTTAAACTACTTTGTAAATTCGATTTTACAAAACTTTTTAACTAGCAAAGAGCGATACTTATTCGACAACTTTGAAATAAGTTTTATCATCTTTATAAATTATTAAATAATAAAGAAACTACTAGTGAAATATTTAAGGATGAGGTAAAAAAATGGATGGAGTTATTTTTAACTCCAACATCAGGAACACCAAATACATCAAATTTCATTAAAGGACTGTACAAGCCATCGGATATTACACCTTATATGCATCTTCTTTATAGTCATATTCTGAATATAATTAAGAATCATAGCAAATTAGAAATTCAAACATTTTCTTGTTCACCAATAGAAAAAAAAAACCACTAACAAACAGTATATTTTTTTAATAAAACTTTAAGGGATGGTGGAAATAAAACTCAATCTTCTTCAATTTTAGCGATATTGCAACAGGAAAACAGATTGTTATATTATATTAAAAATAGAATACCATTAGCTTTTAAAAAATCTAACCATATTTATATTAAATAGTAATTATTGCATTATTGCTTTGATAAATAATAAATACATTTGTATTATTGTCTAAATATATTAAAATTAATTATCACATTATTGTTTTAATAATTAATAAATATATATTTTATTATTGTCTAAATATATTAATGAATTAATAAATTAATTGATAATTAATACATATTTAAATTATTTGTAATATAATATTTAATTTATCTTTGAGTTTGATAGCTAATAGCATCAACTTGAAATTTAATAAGAATAAATCCTGTAGAAATTGTATTCTGACGGGCATCAGTTATTGTTTCAACATACCACTCTATTTTCATTTCAGGTGCTTTTTGAAAATCTGATGGTGATGAAACATATAACATTACATATGCTTTTTGGTCAAGTTCATACTATCGTCCACTTCATTCAGTATCTTGTAATATTGTTGCCATTGTTGCATCAGTGTCTTGACCTTTAAAAATACATGTGTACTTTCTTTTACAAGGTGAATAACGTTGAACCCATGGTCCAAATATACTAATAAATTGACACTGCATGGAATTCTGATTATTTGTTTTCCGGTTTTACTAAAATTAAGTGGTAATTTTTTTTAATAAAAAATCTTATTGTTTCATGAAACTCTTGAATAGCATTTGAAGGTAAAGAAGGAATATCAGATGGTGGTATTTTGTAGTCATTATGTTTAAGGGTTTTATATTGATAAAGCCCTTTTATATTTTTGAATTGTTTTACTTGACATAAGGAGTATTGATAAGGTTTGGATATTCTTTGATTTTTAGAACTTTCATTCGTTACAACAGAACTTGATAAATTCATGACTAAATAATTTGTAACTGATCGATCAATGTATTATAAATCGGTACAATTGAATTGAATTGGTTGGTAACAAAATCACATGTTACACAAAAAGTAATCGGTTAAAGGGTGGGGTAATTAGTTGGATACAAAGTTTAATATATTCGTATTGAATTGATTGGTAAAAAATCACATGTTATACAAAAAGTAATTGGTTAAAGGGTGGGGTAATCGGTTGGACGCAAAGTTTAATATGTAAATTTTAAATTTAGGGTATTTAAAATAACGTACATGTCAATTGACTATCTACTATCTTAATAATTTAAGGAATCTCCGATCAGATTTTATAAGTTTTAGTAACTGAAAAAAAGGTCTAAAAATCAAAATTAGCGCAGACGGATAAAGCATTTATCAAAAATGATGCCAACAAGCATGGCAGGAGAAATTTCTAAAGTATACCTTTGTAAAACTGAATTGGGAAGATGAATTAGCATTCTCTGCATAGAAAAGTACTTATAAAAAATTAATGCAAATCTCCGGATATTTATTCAATGACAATTTCAAAGCAGGAGAATATAATCACCTCAAAACAAGAATGCCTATAGAAATACAAAGAGCAATTTATCATACTAACCCAACAACTTTACAAGAATTTTGGGATGCAGAAGAAAGAGCATTTCTAAGCAAAAAGTCATATAATGTTACAAAGCAGAAAAATTAACTTTGAAAAATTAGCCAACATTAAAGTAACCAAAGTAAATAATGCAAAATTTACTAAAAAAGAATGATCTTAAAAGAAAGTCTTAATAAAAAATATTGATACTCTACAAAGTGACAAATCTAAAGAAAACTGCTTTAAATATGGAAAACCAGAACATTTTGCCAAAAACTGCTACTCAAATACTAAAAAAAACTCCTTTAACAATGTAAATAATTAGAAACTTAAAAAGAAAAGATTTTGCTCACAATGTGGAAAACCATATCCAAAACATCATTCAGGATATACTCAAAATAATGGAACATATATGAATGGAAAAAAAGTAGTAAGAAAAACAGTACCAATAGAAATAGAAAGATTCAAGAAAGGAAACTTCTCAAAGAAACCTTACAATAAAGGAAAAGGAAAACCATATAAAGAGAAATTTACCAAAAAGAAATTCTGACATTATGAAGGAAATGAAGAAGAAAGTAAAAAAGAATACTATTTAGAATCTAAAGAAGAAACTGAAGAAGAATCTAATAATGAAGAAGTTATAACTACAAATAACCTTCATAAAGCTATTTGAAAAAAAGTTAATTCTTTCGAATAGGGGACTTGCCTAGTGTTCAAGAAAAAACCCCAAAGAAACTTTCTAAAGGCTACACTAGAAAGAATATAAATATTATCAGTATTACCAGAATACAAAATATTAATAATATCAAATGTATTAACTTTAAAATACTTAATAAAGATTCTATTATTTATCAAAAATATCAAAAGTTCTCTGCCAAATCTACAAATAAAGAAATGATAAAGAAAGCATTCGAACAAAATAAATACAACTATCTTCTTAAAACCTACAAATTTCCAAAAGAAGCTAAATAGCAAAAACTTAGAAGTATATAAAAGAAACATTGGCAATGTATTGGACTGTTATATAATA